GACTAAGGCAGCTACATCCTGGACCGACCATCAGAAAGCAAGAGACCAGAGAACTCTAAAGGCAAGGCTCACTGAGCCATTTATCCTTTATGATACCTTGGGAGAGGGGTACTGGAGAAACAAATCATAAGATAGAGAGTAGATGTTTGTTTGACCTCTCCCTCTTGTCTAGCCAGAGGTCAGATAAAGCCACACTATTTATTCGGTTTTCTGGGGAAAATATGGGAAGAAAAAAGAAAGTTTGTAAGCCCACTTGCTTTGAGCCATTAAAATTTGATCTTTAGATGGGTTTAGGCTATGCCTGCTAAGAAAGCTTTGAAAAGATATGCCCCACCCAGTGCTTTGGAGTACTCAGGAACCAGTAGTCTTTGTCAGAAGCTGGAAAAAATCTGGAACCATAAAGAAAACTTCTCTCTGGGACTGAATGTTAAAGGGAGCCTGTGATCTGGCTGAAATGCTTGCTAGGTGACCACCTGGAGCTACTTGTTGAGTGGAAGTGGGAGAAATGCAGCAATAAAGAGACAAGCTGAATTTAGCCACTGACACCTGTGGACTTGGTATACAGAAAAAAAGATGAGAGCGGTTGACTGTTCTAAAGTTCATGACCTAGCACAAGGGGGCTAGGCTTGTTGAGTATTGGTGAGAGCCCATGGTCTGAAGGCAAGGCAACCAATGGGCACCCTGTGGAGGCTGAATGAGGCAGCCCACATTGAGTTGACCAGAACCCAACCAGCTGGAGATGTTTGAGCCTGTGAACTGGTGTCTATTGTGCTGACTTTATGGATGGCTTGTCCAGATTTGACTTTGCTTATGGATGCAGACTTCACAAGGTTCCAATTGGAATGAAGACTCTTCATGTCGAAAAATATGATTGTCTCCTCAGAGCACTGGGTTGATGTAAATGGGCAATATATAAACTGGATACCCAAAATTGGGGGGATAAAGGCATGAAGTGGTTGGCTTACAAACTTTCATAGGTGGGGGAACATATTCACAGGATTATAGGATTAAGGTGTAGGTGCTAGTTAATTTCAATCATGAAGCTGAAGAATTATGTACAGGTGCCAAATTGGCAATGGGGTGGATTAAGGGTCAGTTTATTGTGCCTACCTGGCAGATAAACACATGTGGGGTTAATTGAAGGGCAGAGGAATAAATGGCTGTGAGCCTCACCTTTCGAGTTCTCGGGTCTCTTGCTTTCTGACAGTAGGACCAGGGTGCAGCTGCCTTAGCCAGTTCCCTGCTTCAGCTGGCAAGGCTCACTTCCTGCAAGACATCCCTGAGGAGAAGCCACGTGGACTTACCCCAATGCAGCCCTGGGTGCTGGAGCACCTGTGTGGAGACCTCTGCCAACACTGAGCTGCTTACCCATTCACTGATTCGGCTTTCCTCCTGCAGTCGGTGTCATAGTGTGTGTTTTGTGAGATGGAGAAGGACTTTGTGGATTGATATCGGACATATGGGATAATGTTGGACTTGTGGATTTGGGCAGCACTGGGTTTGGGATGTTTTCTTGATGTGCACTTAACCTTTATATAAAACTCTCTCTTCTACATGAGTTTCTGTGGATTTGTTTCTCTAAAGTACCCAGACTAATACAATGTGCCGCCGAAAATGAGCTTTTAGAAACGGAATAAAACTGGGGTGAGGGGAGGGAAGGAAGAAATATATATAGACAAAAATACCTTATTCACTTCTGTTGGATCCCGATCTTTGAAAGTTAGAAATTTAATTTCACAGGATTTGGTCAAAGGCTTATACAGGTCCCAAGGCTGTCCGTCAACAAGAGCCAATATGGACTTTTGGCAGTACCACTCACTTAAATCTAGAAGTTTAAAATGGATGAAGAAATTTAACAAAGCTCAAAGTGAAGCTTTCCACATTTAAATACTGTATTAATAAATAAAACAATGAAAAGGCAAGATGTTACAAGTTGTCTTTTGGAGAAAAATGTATGACGGGTTACATCATAATAATAATACCCAACATACCCAAAATGTGGAATATTAACAAAAGAAATCTAGCTGTGTAAAAATTCTGATGATTTTTTAATGGTTTTTTTATTTGTTTATGAAGAGCTTTATTTATTAATTTCTAATTTCATTTCAGTTAGTTTGAAGTAAATACATATATCATTCCAGAGTTTAATGACATCAAACAATATTGTACAATTGCATATTTAAATATTAACAGATATACATGGAGAAGCTATATACAGAGAGAGACAAAGATCTATACCGAAAATCCAAGGCATATCAGAAATAAAAGAGAATGGAATATTTCCACAAACTTTTTGAAGTCCCCTCATATTTGGATATTTGCACAATTTGGAAAGGAATACTGTATATCTTTGAGTATAAGCCGACCCAAATATCAGCCAAGGCACCTAACCACAAAAATAGCATTAAAAATGTGCTAAGACGCAGGAACAAATAAAGGGGAAGGAAGAGAAAGTGGAGAACATCCTGGCCCATCAAGCCCTGACTGGGTTGATGTAAGTGGGCAGTATATAAATTAGATACCCAAAATTGGGGGGATAAAGGCATGAAGTGGTTGGCTTACAAACTTTCATAGGTGGGGGAGATTCCCGCTCAGAGCAGACAATCCAGAGAGAAGACCACATGGCCAGCCCCACGACGAGACACGAAATCCCTGACTGACCCATGGCCCTACAGGGGACAACACTGGAGACACAGTGTGGGAATTCCGCCAGATCTGATCCCACCACACCGAGGCAAAACACTAAGGGTGTGCAACAGAACAGCAAAGGGAGAAGAGCAAGGAAGACCCCAGGGAGTACCAAAAATAGACTTTGGGGCCAGGGCTTGGTGCCCCAACACACTCGAGTGGAAAACATTCCTAAAGGCCCACAAACAATCCTTGAACTAATTACAAATTTTTCTTTCTTGTTGTTTTGTTTTGTGTCATTGGTTTTGTTGCTTGGTTTTGCTCTGTCTTGTTTTTGTGCATGTTATTATCTCCGCAGGTCTGTCTAAATAAGGGAGACTGGATGAACAATCTGGAAGAGAAAACCAGAGGACCAACAGTTCCGGGGGGAAATGGGAGAGGGGGAGGTGGGGGAAAAGGTAGTGGTGTTAACCAACCCAGGGACAAGGGAACAAGTGATCCAAATCGGTGGTGAGGAGGGTGTAGGAGGCCTGGCAGGGCGTGATCAAGGGTAATATAACCAAGAGGAATTACTGAAACTCAAATGAAGACTGAGCATGATAGTGGGACAAGAGGAAAGTCAAAAGAAATAGAGGAGCTAGGAGGCAAAGGGTATTTATAGAGGTCTAATTAAAGGCATGTACATATGTAAATATATTTATATATGAGGATGGTAAAATACATCTATGTGCATATATTTATAGGTGTAGTACTACGGTAGCAGATGGACATTGGGCCTCCACTCAAGTACTCCCTCAATGCGAGAACATTTTGTTC